CGAATTGAGAACCTTCCTCCTCCTTTTATGAAGTCGGTTAAAAATAGGAGTAAAAGTTTATATAAACATAGGTCCGAAAACGTTTCGTTTTCGAGATACACGGTGTTACAAGTGAAGTCCAGATGAAATATTTTCTAAAATTTCTTTAGTTACCGGTTTTTCAAAGTTAAAAAAAAATAAAATTTCTAATTCTACAGACCTACTAATTATTGTTTACACTTTCAAATAAGGTAACATGCTTTTCTCTTGAAAATGGCGCGTCTAGCAAGATGCAACAAATGTAGCTTTATTATACAGAAAATATTGGTTTTCCAAATTTTATAGTCAAAAAATCTGATGTGTCCAACACATGACTTTCCTATCTAGTTATTATAGGCTTTTTCTGGTTATTTTGTACAACTTATTGCAGTACCTCTATAAATGTTTAGAGGATAAACTAAATATATACATTTTCCACATACATCTATCTACCTCGAAACATTTTTCTATAGTTATTCATTGAAAACGAAAATACTGAAAAATTTAAATTTAGCAATTTTCCCACAATTTTTCCATTACGGTCCATTTTAGAAAAATCATGTGTAAACAAAAATTATAGAGATCGATATCGCAAACAACTTTTAGTTTAGTTTAGAATTTTGCACATTTTGTCAAATTTCTCGAATACGGACCATTTCAGGAAATTTTGACATTAAGCAAAAATTATAAATAATAATATTAGAAGTAACTTTTATTTGAATAATTTTCTTCTCCAAACATAAATAACAGATATATTCAATAAAATATAAAAACGGCCTCCCATAAAGTACCCCCCCAGATGTTCCGACTTTGTCCAAAATCTAACTATTTCACGTCAGGTCGAAATAAAACTTAAGTTTAAAATTTAGTATTTTTCTGTGTATTGGTTCGTGAGTTATGGTAGATATAGACACACACGGCAATTTTACCCTAAGCTCCCCCTAATTTACCCACCTAAGAAGATGATCAATAACTGGGGTTTAGTCCAATAAATGAAGCGTAAAAAGGTAAGTATTTGTAACAAATTTTACCTAATTATCTTTAAACGTTTAGAAAATATTTACAAAAGTGTGGTATCAGGACTTCACCTTTAACACCCTGTATCTCGGAAAAGAAAAGTTTTCGGACCTGTTTATATGAACTTTTACTACTATTTTAGGATGTAGATTACGCTGTTAAAATATGACCGTCTAATTTCGGGACACCCTGTATATCATCTATAACTATCAATAAATAAAAAATATTTGAGATGTTTGGTTTAAAAATAGTATTCCTACATTCGTATATTAACAAGCCACTAACCCCCAGTAGGCGGCGATAGCCAACGAATTATACCTGAATTGTAATTGGACCCTTCAGGGTATGACACACAACATTGCCAAATTTATGTAGCGAACAAGGTTCCAAATACTTTAAAGGGAGGTCATGAGATTCGTGCGGTGTGACGTCAGAAGGGACTGGATTGCTCTTAATATTTATTATAATATGCCCAAAGGGAGGCTTACTATCACTAGAATTGGAAATAAACCTTGTAAGCTGACTGCTGGTGTCGATATTGCTGGAAAATATTGGTTTGGGTACTTTCATGCAAGTTTTAATCCACAAATCTATGGACTGGGTTAAACTTGGCTAAAAATAGGTCGTTGAAATGTACTAGGAATGTGAGAGCAAAGGTGCTTTTGATATCTACTAGTCTGTTATTGAACTCATCTACAAAAGATGTTGTTTGAAATATTGTAAAAAGAAGGAATACAAGATTTTTTTAATTTAACACTCCTGAAGTGACATTATTCCTAAATAGATAAATTGAAAACATTAAAACCATTCAAAAGTTTAATTAAGAGTAAAAGATACATACATTCTTCAAGCTGAACCTATTGTTGAAATTCCCGTAAAAGTAGATATTACGAACCTCGAAGAATTTTGAGAAAATTCTAAGCTCAATAAACGAATGGAATATGTTAATTTTAAATAATAACAAGCCAGATATTAAGGAAAAAACTTAAAAATTAACAAAAATATTACAAATTTTATTATCATTATTTTGTTATTAACTATACTTATTTTTGTTAATATGATATATTATAATAGCAAAAATTAATTTTTCAAAATAAAAAGAAAAACAATATTCTTGACAGAGCGTGGTTTTGATCCATCGACCTCTGGGTTAAGGGCCCATCACCCTATCTCTGTGTCACTATGCTCTTGTATGAAAGTTTCCGAAATTAAGTATTTAAGATGCCTAGTAAATAATTAAATGTGATTAAAACTTTAAATGCAAGATGTTTATAGCTAGTTTATATCTAGTTGCTGGCCGGATAGAGATATCCCTGGACAATAAGGAGCCCGCCTTGAGTGTTTTTATAGACAGACATAAACATAGAAGCCACCTTCCCCGTGATAATACACTCACTAACCAACAGGAATTTTCTACAGATGGTTAGTGGGTGGATACATAACATGCTCTCAAAGAAAGCAGTAAACATAAGTGGAACATCATTCCCAAGAAGACAGAAATAGTCCTTTTCACAAGGAAAATTATGAAAATGGAATTAAAACCTCTAGAACTTCTAAACATAAAACTAAACATTGCAATAGAGATGAAGTACCTAGGTATCACCTTTGAACAGACTAACACAGGGGACATAAAGGCAATGAAGAGGCTGATTTACTAGCCCGAGAAGGAGCTTCAAATGCTCTTATTGGCCCAGAACCCTTCTGTGGTGTAACAAAAATAACTATCAGAACATGCACAAAGCAGTGGATGTTTAAAAAATCTCAGGAGTGGTGGGAAAACTCACCAGGACAGAGACAGGCCAAAAAGTTCTTAAAAGGACCATGGTCTAAACTCACCGAGCATCTACTAAACCTTAATAGGAAAAATACTAGAATACTAGTAGGTCTATTAACAGGGCATTGTAGGCTTAACAAACATATGTTCAATATCGGTCTGACAGAAGAGGCCTTGTGCCGATTCTGCCAAGAAGAAGAGGAAACGGCAGAACACGTATTGTGCTACTGCGAAGGTCTAGTAAGACTGAGATTCCTTACACTTGGAGAAGAAAAACCAAGGGCAACTAGCTATACCGGAGAACTACTTCCCAGTCTATGGAGTCTACTACAAAAGACCGCATTAGACAAGGTACTCTAAACAATGATTAAAGGATATCCACAATAGATCTGAAAAGGTCGAGGTGGGGGAGGCCACATGGCCCATAGTCCTAATTAAATCTAATCTAATCACCTTTGAAAGCTGGTTAACTTGGAACTCACGCTTGGAAAACAGAGTCAAAAGAGCATACATTGCTTATGAATAATGCTGCCGAAGCGTAAGGCGCATCTGGAGTTTCTCCCGCAGAGTCATCGCATGGACATACACGGCCATTATAAGACCTATGCTAACATACGGTGCAGTTATCTGGGTACCGAAAACCCAAAAATTGACAGCTATCCGCAAACTAGATCAAATTCAAAGAACTGCATGTTTCAACATAACAGGAGGCATGAAAACTACACCGACCAGATCCATTGAGGTTATTCTTAGTCTCACTCCCTTGACATTTACGTCAAAGAGGTTGTTGCTCTGATGACAATGACACGCTTCTGCACGGTTGGAATAGAACCTGATGTAGGATCTCGTCAGGCGAGACGTCGCTTTTTGCCGGAGATGCTCGATACGCTCTCACTACTTCAAGAGAACTTGGACTCCATCTCACCGAGATATATCTTCCATACGCCATATAAACTTATAAAAGAACAAATAAAAGAATCTGAAGTAGTAGGTACGATTCATATCTACACTGACGGTTCTAAAACAAAAGAAGGCTCAGGTAGATTTTCACAAAACTTTTATTTTAAAAAATAAAAAATAAAAATTAAAAACACTACACATGACATGTTTCGAAGTACAACTTCTTTTTCAAATGTATTTTAATTCAAAGTTAGTAGACAACATTTTAGAGAAAAAACTTTTTAAACATGCTATTCAACTAGTTTATCCCATAATTAAAGATCAAAATTGCAGATATAAGAGTCTTACATATATAGGAGCTCCTAGTGAAAAGGTATCATCATATTTAAAAAACCAAAATATTAACCTAGCTTTTAAAACCAATAATACGCTTGGGAAGTATATTAAAAACAATAAGGGTAAAATTAATCCTAATAATAAATCTGGGGTATATAAATTAAATTGTGGTAGTTGTCCAAAACTGTATATTGGTCAAACAGGCCGTACTTTCAAAAAGCGCTATTCCTAACATTATAATAGCTATACAAAAAACAAAAATAATTCTACTTACTCAAATAATATTTTAGCTGAAAATTATTCTTTTACAGACAACTTTGAAATTTTACATATAGAAAATAAGAACCTTAAATTAAACCATTTAGAAACACTTGAAATAAATAGATTTAAAAATTCAGATAACTTACTAAATGATCAATTAGATATTAATAATTCACCCTTATTAAATCTCTTTCCTAGTTTTCTGTGAGATAATCCCGGTAATGTGCTATCTTATTGTTATCTGATTGATATTATAATTACCTAAGTACTCTTATTTATTTTAAATAGTTATTTTGTAATGTTATTGATGTTTTTCTTAAGTAATTTGTTTTGTTAAATATTTCGTATATATATTGGATACCGAATTTAAAATAGTCACATTTGAAAAAGAAGTTGTACTTCGAAACATATGTCATGTTAGTGTTTTTTAAAAATTTTTATATTTTTAAAATAAAAGTGTGAAAATCTACCAAATTTGGTTTTACTCTTTCAAGATCAAATGGATTTTCATCAAGTAAAGGCTGAAACAATAAATAATTTAGTTATGTCTAGTTTCCCTGAAAAACAAACTAATGAAATGTTTTTTCTATACATCACTTTTAGAATCACTTTTTTGTCGATCTACAAATTTGATTTCAAGCAACATTTTTTTCTTATGATTTTTTTAATGATATAATTTATTTCTTTGATACAGGTTCACACAATGTTCAAAAAGAGTCCCGTAAATGGTATAAAAGTCGTCGTAAGAGACAGACCATTCGAAAGAACCATAACATTGCACAAAGACAGTGTCGGCTGCATAGGATTTCAATTTAAAAATGGAAAAATCAATACGATCGTCAAGGATTCATCCGCCGCTAGAAATGGTGTTTTGACTGAACACCAATTGTTGGAAGTCGACGGCCAAAATGTAGTTGGTTTAAAAGATAAGGAAGTTTCTAATATAATTATAAAGGCAGGTCCAGTCGTCACAATTACTGTTATTCCATGCTTCTTGTATGACCACATGATCAAATCGTAAGTAAAACTTTCTTGTTTGTATCAAACGTTTATTATTTTGGTATTGTATTACAATAAATTTTATTATTTCATTTCTTTTTCAGAATGCGTGGCTCTCTACTAAAAGATTTGATGGATCACTCAATCCCTACATTGTAAACATATCACTTCACTTATCGTTATCCAGAACTGAATGGTAATCTTTAGAATAGATTATTTGTATTTTTGCATGCGTTTCAACAATATATTTTTTTAATATGTAACAAGTATCCATATAAAAAACATTTATAGCATTTAGCTGCTGTTATATCATTTTAGATTAGCACACATTGATTATATATAAGTATATTTTTTTTTATACAAGCTTGAAAGGCTGTTTCAAAATAAGTGCTGCTTTAAAGACGATACGTATTTTAAAACATGTGTATCCGGGGCAAACACGCCCTATATCAAGACTGCAGTATTTAAAATAACCAGGAAAAACTACACAAGAAATTAATATTGGAAAAAATCAGAAATTCTATTTTCGGTTTCTTAGCATTACAATACAGAAACAAAATCAGTAACGCTGCGACTGTGAAATAAAGATTCCGAATATTCGACATGGGTGTCAGAGCGTGGAAAGATTATTATCTTTTTATATTTAACTATTTTCAATTGAACTATCTTTTAGCACCTCAAAACTGTAAATTTGCATTGTCGTGCAATTCGCCCTGCATCAATACTAAATTAATTTTTTTTCGGCGGGCAGCTGTCTCAAACTATCTCCATGATTGATTGTCGCATGGCCGACATATTAAAATTGTAAAATTGACGGTGATTGGAGCAACGAATCGTTATATGTAACGTTACATCCGTTCCCGTTTCAAAAAAAAAACATTCCAAAGTCACGTGACGTTATAACGGATTAATTATTGTTCCCAGCATGCTCTATGCATAACGATCCAAGTAACGCGTAATGATACATTTTGAAAGAAACAACGCATTTTTTCAAATTAAATTATCAAAACTAAACTTGCTAATGTGACTAGACTTTATACTTTGTACAATCGATACAACAGCCATTTAGTGATAATACTTAGGTAAAAGTTAAGAAACATTGTTCATGGGAACATTCAAGCCCATTCGTTCGGGTCTATCTTTCTTTCTCGTGAATTTTGTTTAAGTTGTTTGGCTCTGTGGTTGCACTACGCCCTACGCCATCACTAGATTACAGGTTTCCTGTTATACAACTGCACGGCAATGTACAAGGCGAGCGGCGCCCCGACGTAAACTATGTCTTTACATCAAGACGCCTTAGAACATGTCTTTGGTCTATAATGACTGATGAGAGACTGTCTAGACTTTTTATTATCAGCGTGCATCTGAAAAAAGAAAAGTTCAAAATAAATTATAAAAATAACATTTTCTTCTTAGTTGCCCTTAAACTTGTATGTATGTTTTCTAATCTTATTTTTATGTAGTTTTCGACTTATAAATATATATATTTTTTGCTTTTATCTAAAACGTTATGAAACGACGCCCATATTTTGGTATGCTTTTATTTGAATTTGACGGCAGACACTAATTTTTCTACAACGAAATTTTTATATTCTTTATTCTTTAATATCTACTCTTTTTCCCATTCCATATGACGACTGCCAATATCGTCGGTGCCATGCCAAAACAATGAATGTGTAAATTTGTTACTTTCTTGTTTTCAGCCGTAAAATATTTCTTTAATTATTTACCTATTACTTTTTCCCGTAGTAAACTAGTTGCTAATAAAATAACTATATTAAACTTCTTAACTAGTTAATATAATAAATATACAATGCGATGAATCATATTATTATGAACTTATAACTTTTAAAATGCTCTCTTGAAAAATTTATAAAATGCACATACGCGGTTTTGGCAAGAAACAGACGATATGAAATATACCAGTTGTACCTTGAACTTTGTTTATGTAGCTTCTGTGCAATAGTTAGCGCATTATTTCCTTTTAGTTAACTGTTATTGCTATATGTTTAGTAGTTTAGTTTATCTCATATGTTTATTGGACTTAATATTATAGATTTTTAAATATGCACACCAAAGAATTTGGTTTATGTGATTTATCTGTGCCAGATTATAAAATTGCTTAGATTTTAATAAAAGTTATAAACTTATGGTTGTTTCTTTATTTATATCAATCCATATACAATTAAGTACAATACTCGTCCTTATATTGTGGAATTTGTTTCGTTGTTATAGCTAAAGTCTATTCAAATTTAATTTACGCCTGTGTAAACAGAAGTAGGTGGACGCTAAAATTGAGCAGGGCTGTATTTTACTTTTCCGTCTTGCAAAAATGTAAAATAAAAGAGTAATTGTGAATTTATTTTTTTATTACGATAAAAACATATTTTGTAAACTAAAACTATAAAATAAATGCCATACACGGTCTCCCAGACTTTAGTGACATTTCTGGACGAAGATAGGTGAGCGACATAAACTGCGTTAACCTGCAATACAAATTAATAAATGTATTTGACTTTAAAAGAGATGTTTGCATTATATTTAGTTCATTACATATGTCTACTGTGATACAGAGCATTAAAACAATCATAATATAAAATTATATTATACAGGGTGTCCAAATAATTGCAAATTCTTTAATAGCTAATATATATCTACTAAAAGCATTAAAAAAACTTTAAATATAAGAGGTATTTGAATTTGGTATTTGATTTAAAATTGTGCATCTTAAAAAGAAACTTTTTGTATTTTTGACAACTTTTGTTCTTTATTGTTCTTGTTCTACTAGTATTTAGATTAGACACCTTGTACCCTGTATTATAGCGATCTTCCTTACTTGACTTAGCACTATTCTGAATCGGATAAATTAGTTAGACTTGAAGGGCTATCTTCATTAATCAAAATTACAAGTGGTTCTACTTGAACCTCTATAATATTATCCAACTCCCACATTGTTGCTTCAACTTTTTGGCGAACATGGTCGATACACTTTTTCCATTTTTCTGGAGAAATTAATAATATTACTTCTTCAAAAAGAATTTTAATGTCTCCAGATTTAAATGTTGGGTTTTTATCTGCTACGTATTGTTTAACGTCAACCTAGATTAATTCAATATTATGTTGTTTTGCTGCTTAGCCATTTCATCTATTACATACCTATCATAATGTTTATGTTGCTTACCAAGTTTTAGAAGTTGGATCTTAAGCATTTGGTAGTCGAATTCAATTTTTTTCCCTTATAGCCATTTTTAAATATCACCTTTTTTAGACGTCGTTGCAGGTATTTTTTCCAGCTTTCTCGAATAATAATGCAGTTATCTTCTAATTTTGGTAGGGTGTTTGAAAACCACTCTTTGAACGATTCTCCACACGTTTCTTCATGGTAGTCACCGGATTTTTCAACTTAAATACATAAAGTGCATTAGAGACAAAGCCTTCTTCACTTCCCATATGGCATATAATGAGCTGTTTTTACGCACATACCTGATGGGTTTTTAAAACCAGTTAAAAGTTGATCCAAAAAGGCTTGTCTGGATGATAAAACCGACATATCGAAACATACTTTTGATTTGGTGTCGCCTGCGTTAATCCAAGTCTCATCAAGATAAAATATTTTTTGCTTTTCTTCTCTGTACCGTTTTATTTTTTGTGACGTAGGACAAAACAATTTCATTTTGTCTAAAAGCAAACTATTTTTCCCTCGAGTTTTAAATTTAAAATTAAGGGTTTTGAAAAGATTGTAAAATGTAGCTCTTTTAAAAGTAGACAAATATGGATCATCGTTGACCTTCTTATAAAACCTTATCGATTGTTGGAAGTTAATTTCTAAAGAAGAATTGATGTACTTTGCGCCTTATTGCATTTTTATCAAAATCATCCACATAGCCACTAATTTGTTTATAACGTAGCTTTCTTTTTGGTTCAGAAAATTTATGAATCTGCCTATACTTCTTCATAACATTAAAAACGGTTTTAGCGCACATCCCTGTTTTATCAGCAACTCTCCTTTCAACATCATGCACCAACATATCAGGGTTCTATAAAATTTAATGCTTATAAATATTAAGAACCATTTCTTTAGTACGGATGACCAAATGTCCCTTTTTCGGTCGCTTTTTAGAAGGCGTAAAAATATTTTTCTGGACTTCATCTGCTGTATCTGTGGAGGACATAGTGTCACGCAGCAGTTACAAAATATAGTCAATTAAATGTTCATAAAATAGAGTAAAAAATGTTCAAACTAACAACAACCACAAAAACAAAAAAAAAAAAAAATAAATAACACAATATATGTATATCTAAACTATAATATAATGAATTATAATCAATCAAACATACAAAATGTCCAAACTAACCAACACGGTGAAGGCTACCAAAACTCCGTTTAAAATTATCCAAATTGAACTTAATTCGACTCTGACAAAAATATTTGCGCGTCGTCTAAATGACTAACGACCGATTAACCAATAGAAGCGCAAAGAAAATGCCACGTGAGCTGTTGCTGGATGGGTGAGATTGTTTTGACGCGGCGTAAATGAAATCTGAATAGACTTTAGCAAGGATTTGCCGGATTTGATTTGTAAGGAATTTGTTGCCTTTATAGCAGCGGACCAGGTAGGTTAAAACAATCGGTTGGCATTTATTTATTATATATTTATCCGATATTCAATGGAAAAATAATTGCTTAAAATTGTTATCGGGATTGTAGAAGCAGTAGTTTACATTATTCTAATGGATGCCCTACACGCTCCGATATGGCCTGCAGGCCAAAATGCACAGTTCTGATCTAATGGCAAGATTTAATCGGCCTATTTCACTCTTCATCTTCACATTAGACAAAAGAGGAGAGGCCAGATGTAAGTCAGATCGAGCACTTCACGTTGAGTTATGGACTGAATCGAAGGACTGTCAGTTCAAATCTGACAAATATCGTAGCGTGTAGGGCCTCCTTTAAACTATTTACTTTTTTATATTTATTATTATTACTCGTACATGGAGACGTTCAGAACATGATTGAGGATCGTTCTGTAAAACATTGATTGTGATAGGGTCCCACTCGAGGTTTGACAATTCGTTAAAATTATTAGCGAGTCTCAACATGGCAGAGCTGGGACGAATCCTCAAAAAATTGATTCGAATCCGAATCACGAGATGTGATTCAAATCACGGATCCTATGTCGGAATTCTTTTTGCAATAAAAAGGATTCGAATTCATTTTTTCGGATCACGAATACGGATCACTGTCAGTGTCATACCATGGTATTATGTATAATAATAATAAATGCCTTTATTGACATTATGCATACATATATGACTTATGTCAATTGGCAGGGTTCAGTGTTCCTTAAAGGTAGATGAACTGCCTTTAAGTAACTCTGCTCTTCCACCCAACCATGCTTCCGAATCTAATATCAATATCAACTATGTGTCTTTTACGAACTATGACTTGCATACAAATGGTTGATACTAGAAGATATTGAAAAAAATAAAATTATTTTTTTTTCTACAAATATGAACCATAAAAAAATTAGAATCTACAAAAATACATTTTATTTTAATACAATAAACAAACAATGAAATAAAAATGTCTTTTGGTTGGCCTTACATAGCACCAAGATTTCAAAGCCGTCGATTATAACTGCAAAGAAAAATAATCGTTAGACTGCACCAGACGAAGGAAGGCAAGTGTTAAATTTTAGGATTTTTTATGTTGAATATTCATTGATAATTTGTAATGTCAAAGAAGGCTGCAGAGCACCTAGGCCAACGTTACTCAAAGTGTGGTCTACGGAGTCCTGGGGCTCCGCAAATCCTTTGTGGGGGCTCCGCGAAAAAAATAATAGTCATAACAAAAAAAAGCAGTACTATCGCTACAACGGGAGTTGGCTTGA